AGGTCTAGTTAAGTAATTATAGGTCTTTAAAGGTCTTAGTGATTAGTTAAGGCCTTAATAAGAGTTATAGAGTAATTATTACTTAGGTATAGCTAAAAGTATTATAAGTAATAATTATAAGTTAATTGCTAAAGAGCTATAGAAGTTTGTCCTCAAGCGGACTCAAGTCCATCCTATATACAGGTCCTGGGTAGTCCTATTGCTGGGTGCCGTACATGCCCTGTACGGCTCCCATATCCTTGGCATACGGCTTCCGTCTCCTTGGCATACGGCTTCCGTCTTTCTGGAATACGGATGCCGTATCTTGATCATACGGATCTAATCTCTTATCTTATCGTCACGTGACCTATACCATAGTTCTTCCGTTCCTAAGGGATCCTTACGTGTTCCCGTGATCCTACATACAAATGTATTGTCATAACCGCCCAGTATCCTAGTGGGGCGTCCTTCGTTGGTTATGCCTAACGGGTCGTAACAACCTATAGGATATCTCTTGTCTAAGTAGGCCTCTATTGCTAGGTCTTAAGCTCTTTATTCTTCTATATATATATTATATGACCCTAGGCCTTATTTCTCTGCTGTCCTAGGAGTCGACTGAGACGTAGGAGTAATAGCTAGGGTGTGTATTAATCTGTATCTTATCTATATAGCCTATCTATAGTTCCTAAATAAGAACGATATTAATCTAATAGGCCTAGTAGAGCTCTAGTAGAGCTATATCACAACCCGTTAGGTATAACCAATAGAAAACGCCCCACTAGGATACTAAGTAGTTATAATAGCACCTTTATATATAGGATTACAGAAATAGAAGGGAAACCCCTTAGAATAAAAGAACTATAGTATAAGTTATATAATAATAAGATAAGGAATAATTAGTAGAGTATAGAGCTAAGTAATTAGTAATTAGTTAGTAGAACTAACTAATTATAATTATTTATATATTAAGGTAATTACTTAATAAGTAATTAGAATATAAAGACTATTTAATATAAGACTTATATATAAAATTAGCTTAAGTTTACTTAAGATTAGACTTTTATAGCTCTTTAGTAATTAACTTTATAATTACTCTTATTAATACTTTTAGCTATACTTAAGTAATAACTACTTTATAACTCTTATTAGAGACTTAACTAATTATTAAGACCTTTAAAGACCTATAATTACTTAATTAGACCTATAGAATAACTATTAACTATTTACTATTATTAATCCCTAACTTATTATTAATATAAACCTACTGTTAGTTAGCTGGCCGTAATAAGCTATATATGCTAGGGGTATTTTCCCAACGTTACACTGCGCTACGCGCAGCGGTCGTTAGGGGGGCTTTCTTAGCCTATGTCTCTAAGTTGAGGTTGAGGTATATATAGGCATTAGCAACGTTGTAATTAGGCTTCTAGACTACCCACCTACCTAGGAGCAGCAGGATGGGGCGGTTAGATAGAGGCTTAGCTAGTAATAGTAAAGCAGGCTCTTCAGCTTCATCTTCATCCATACTGTCGCTGCTAGCCGTGCTGCCATCGCCCGCCACAGTAATTGAGTCCTGGGTGGGTGTGGTGGGGCGAAGCCGTTTGTGTCCAGGCTGCTGGAGCTGTCCAGGGGTTGAGTCTATCTGTGGGGTGGTTTGGCTTGCTCTGTAGAGCGCCTGAGACGTCTTCTCTCCAGCTTCCTAAATCCGCCTTATTTCTCTCCGGTTTGGGAGGGTAAGATGTCCATTTGCTACTATAGGTCTTGCTGGGCAGTTCTTGTAGCTTGCTGGGTGGGGCCCATGGCAGTTTGCACACTTCAACGCGGCTATACAGGGACCAGCCTCATGAGTGTCTAAGGGTTTCCCGCAGTTCTCACATAGGGGCCGTCTAGTGCAGTAGCGGTTTGAGTGATAGCCCTGGCATCCAGGGGAGTGTCGCCTAGGGATCTGCTTCCTAGGTGGGAGAAGCCCTCCTTGACCTCTTGAGGGAGGGCAATAATCACACTTTGTGTAGCTGTAGCTTAATCAGGGCCAGCTCGGGTTGGACGCCAGGAGAGTAGTCTCTGCTTCGTCTGCAGGAGGACCTCCTCCTCTATTTCTGACTCTACACTAACCCTACTACCATCTAGGCCTGTAAAGTAGAGCGGGCAGAATGGGACGATATACTGGTGCCACTTAGTAGGTAATTCAACCTTTTCAGCTGTAAGGCACTTTTAGATCTCTTGGGCTCTTTGAAGGAGTAGGTCCTGGACCTCCTTATTTTGCGGCCTAAGGGAGAATCCCGTAGCGGTATGCCGGACCTCAACGAGATCTTGGGGCTGTAGGCTGAGTTCTTTAGTTACTACCATCTTAACTGTGTGAGGGGCAAGGGTCCTAGATGTGGGGATATGTTTGGATGGGAGCCGGACTAGTAGGCGAAGGTCTGGGGCCTGTTTCTGCTGCAGTGCAGGACTGGGGCGTCCGGGGCTCCGGGCGGGCTGTCGGCCCGATGCTGAGTTCGGCCCGGGGGCGGGGCCCGAGGTGGGGCCGGAGTTGGCGGCGGCCTGGGAGTACGTTTTTCCGGGTTGTGGAGTGGGGCCTGAGAATTCTGCGGTTGCAAACCGGGTGAAGGAGTCGATAAGACCCTGGGCTGTAGCCTTCAGCCGGGCTGGAGCTGTTCCAATGAGGGCGTCTAGACCTTGGGCGAGAAGATCTAGGGCTTCATCTCGGAGGGCCCGCCCCTCGCGGGCCCGTGGGAGGGCGGTAGCGGCCGTCTGTGGTCCTCGTCTCGCGGGCCGGATGGGGGGGGGGCGTCATACCGCGGGGTCGTGGGGGTAGGGAGGTAGGGGGAGGAGGGGTCTGCGGGAGGCTATGTATAGAGGATGAAAGGCCATTAGAGGCCCGCGGGGTGCCCGCGACTGGCTGTGAGGCCATCGCGGGCGGGTGATTCAGGTGTAGTTATTGCAATTGATGTGTTAGTAATGAGGTGTAAGGCCCAGCGTAGCACTAACAGCGGGTGCTAGCGGGGCGATGTGTAGGAGGGAAGTGTATTGCCGCTCAAGAAAGGCGACAATTTGGGATAATGCTTGTAGTCCTTCTTTTCTTGCTCGAAGACCTCGAATCCAAGCGAATCCACTCCACTCGTCTCTAATCAGGATGATGACCTTCTCGTTGTTGTATGCTTTGCTGATGACGAAGAAGTCCATGGAGATGTAATCCCCTGGGGCTGTAGGGTTGTGGTCAGGCTTCCTTTGAGATATGTTCTGCATCGCTTTCCCTGTTGAGCATGCTACACATTCGTCTTTTGAGATGCCTTCTATCTGTATCCCTTTGGTGGTCTTCAGCATCCTGGTTAAGGCCTGGGCACTTGGATGACTAAGTCTCTCGTGCCAAAGCATTGCTTCTGCCTTTGACGGTTTCAGAGGCTCAGTTGTAGAGGGATGGCCTGATTTTGTTTTCTCCTGACTGGGCACTTTGAATCTAACTTGCTTATTGCTTATTGGAGTGTTGCTAAACGAGCTTGTAGTCTCCTCTGTGGCGATATAATCCAGTAAATACTGGCTGTGTTGCTAGGGAGTTGTGAAGAGAAGTTCTCCTTTTGAGTTCTTGAGACCTGGGTGTCTGACTGTAAAGAATGAACCGATTTTTTTCAGAGGCTCAGTTCCTAGAAGGCTGACTGGATAGTCCGGGATGTACAGGACTGATCTGACAATAAAGCCCTTCTTGTGGGGTCCTCCTTGGTTTGGTTTGATAACTATAGTGCCTTTAGCGATGGCTGTAACATGTCCCCCTCCTGTAAGGACTTGTTGCTGGGAGGAGTAATCAAGGTCTCTCATCCTCTTTAGGTTGTTGTAGATGTGGTAGGAACTTCCCGAGTTGATGATCACGCTATTCTTTAAGGGAGATCTAGAGAATAGGCTAGCTGCTGGGATCCTTGGCTCCTTGTTGAAGTAGGATGACGAAAGTGATCTATCTGAGTCCTCTCCATCCTGAGTAAAGTGGGAGGATGTCGTGATTGTTGTCTGTATGTTGTTCTTTTGGTTGAACTTTTTGATCCTCATCTGAACCCTTGGATTGTTCTTGAGAAAATTCTGGGTTTTCTTAATTGCCGTTTTGTTGCTACTGATATTTGGGTCATAGGTTGATTTTGTGATCGTAGGGTTGAAATGGCCACAGGTTTCAGCGAAGTGTTTCTGACCTGGGCAGGCTGGGCATTCTGGCTTCCAATCTGATGAGAATTTCCCTACTTTCTTATCTTCCTCATCTCGTCCTTGCTAAGTAGTAAAGCTGGTTGTTTTTGCCTTTCCTTCTAGCTAGTCTGGGTGTTTGGATTGAATCTAGTTCCTGAATTTGATTGCGGCGATGGCTCTATGCCACCTTTCCCATTTTTTCGGTCGTTTGAGAGTTTTCTTAGCTATCTGGTGGGCTCTAGGTGTTGCCCAGTCTGGAGCGACTGTCTTGACTGCTCGTAAGAAGTCTCTGACTTGTTCTCTTGGATTGCTTATCGATATGATGTCTAAGACTCTGGCTTCCTCTATAATTTCTAGGTAGGTATTGAGCTAGTCTATGATGTTTTGTCTCTTGATGGACTTAAGGTGGAGGATGTACCTCCTTTTGATAAGTTCTTGTCTTGCTTGGCTGCTTGGAGCCAGATTTTCCTTCAGAGACTTGATCATATCTCTGAGGCTGCTGTGTCTGCTGACCATGCTGAGCGTTAACTGTTGAAATTATCCACTTAAGGATATCATTGAGGCTCTGCTGAACCCGTCTATATTCCCTTTCTTGTAGTTTGAACTTAGCCTTCTTAAGGTTAAGAAGATTGCTAAAGTTCGCTAAGGAAACATCGTCTGGATAGTTAGGCTGTGGCTTAGTGTTTACTACTGCCTGATCTGGGTCGATGTAGTCCCAGACATTGTAGACTGTAGCAACCATCCTGAGACTGTTGAACTATTTGGTCTAGTTAGAATCATTCTGGAGCCGCTGAATGTACTTGGCTGTATCCATCTTGGACGCGAAGCCTTGTGGTCTTGCTCTGCACTCCTTATTGAGCTTGAGCTTCTGGGTCTTTCCGATTCTTCTCGTACGCTGACGGAGAGTCGAAAGCTGGTTGAGACTGTCGTAATCTCTTGGGCTGATCTGGTTCTGGTCTGGGGCTGGCAATTGCCCTGATCAGGTGCTTGGCTCTTCTTGAGCTACCTTTGTCTCTTGACTAAAAGGTTCTGAACAAAGCTGTATTGCCTGAGTCTACTGGGCTCATAACTGAAAGATCATCAGTATGGCCAATAGCAGCATAACGAATGTGGGATAAAGTTGGTTGTATTGCTTAGTGTAATCTGCTGGTCCTGCAGTAGATCTATATAAACGATTGGCGTTTATCCCTTGTAAGGCAATCCTGGCCTGTATATGTAGTTAACTGAGTAATGACTGTGAGCGGTGAGTTTCATCCAAGCGAGGGTATCCCTGGTTCTGTCACTTGCTTTCACTGTGCCACTTATCGACGAGCTTGCTGAAGAGACGACCCTTCTGCGCCTGCCATCTGCCGGCAACCACGACAATAGCGACAACGACGACAAATACCACGACGACGGCGGCGGCGGCGGCGATGACGAAGACGAAGACGACGCCAACGTTTCCCTCCCACATTGCGTTGAATCACCCGCCTGACCGAGTGCCCAGCAAACTTCTTGGCCGACTGACTACCAACCTCGTGCAGCCATACCTCCGGCCCTTCGGCACCTCCCACGGCTTACTCCCTCAACGGCATCGGCGGTATTGTAGGGAAGCCCAGATCACATAGCCAGCCATCGATTATCCCTCCTACCTGTTGCTACTTCCGCTCAAGAGACTTACCATCGAAAGCCCACCGAGAGCGCCAAAAGAGCCTGGCCGCTGGCCTGAGAGCCTGAGAAATCGAGAACTTGCTAAAGTCTGGCTGTTGTGAGTCCACAAAACACCTCTTCCCTGCATTTGGCAGTTTCTGATAATGACACCAGGACCTGAAAGTGGCAGTCAACCTGAGCCGACAGACGAGCGGATCGATCGCCGAGGCCGCGGTCTAGGATTGATACCCGTATTCTCAAAGCAAGACCCAGTCTATCCCGCACTACTACATTGCAATTCCCTCACGATCGGCGCCGCAAGTACCCCTGCCTCCGGCCAACACCACACAAGACAAGATTGATCTGATCATACCGGGCTGGTACGATCTCCCCCTGAAAAGAGAATCGCGAGAGCAAACGTTGGTGATTACATGCGCTGGCCTGAATCTCGGACTGTGCCCGGAATCCATCGTCAATGCTGAGATACCTGTTGCCAACTCTCGATGGTCGGATGAGCCTCGACGAAGATTCAGAAGGGATTTCAATGCGTCTGGTCGAATTGGCAATCTATTGTCGGCAACAACTCCCTTGCTACTCCTGTGGCTCTGGATAATGTTGACTCTTTATCTACGTCGCAGACCTCCAGTCCAGAGTTCCCTCCAATGAAGCGCTTCCGACCGCCATTCCCACCCACAAGGGGTTACATCAACTGGGGTCATGCCATCGAGGGCTAAGCCGCCGGACGGAGCAAGACCACGAGTGGGAAGTAGCGCAAAACAAGATTGCTGGTGACAGAAGTACCGTCACGCACGATTTCAAGCCGAGACAGCAATGTCTGGTTTTGCAGATATCGAGAGCGCTCTTGGTCGGTCTGGACCTCGGCCAACGTCCTCACCTAGTAAAGCTCCGCTTCTTCGGACTTTTCGTCCCTCGAACGGGGCGGCTGTGCTCACGGGTGGTGGCCAGCACCAGCTTGCCCGCAACGGTCTCATCGAAAAGACCCCATCTTATCGCTCTCGATTCTTTCTAAGAAGCCAATCATCGCGTCGGATACCCGCCGTGTCACTGGCTACATGCTACTCGCTCCGCCGACGTTGATGGCAGCGAAAGCTTTGTTCATGCCGTCCCTATTGTCGGGCTATTCGAGCTCGTCGGAGGTGGTGTCGATGCTGAACATGCGTGGTGGGAATCAGGAACCAGGAGGCAGCCTACGAGAGCACGAACTGGTTTGATTGAGTATAATTCAGTGGTGAAGGGCTCATGGGGAATGTCAAAAAATGATAAGCTGGTTCAATCTACCTGAAATTCATGCTCAGTACAATCAAATCGCGGTACACGGGCCATGGCGAGCATGACCTCGCTGACTTCGCGAGTTTACATTCCAGGTTGCTTACACACCTTCCGGGCCATGGAATTGAGGGGACATTTGCGTCTGGCAAAAATGCCTCCGTATAAAACGATGAGTTCCTCGTATTAACTGGTCATCGACTTTCAACTACTGGTCACGTCAATGGCAGAGACCCATGAGAAAACGGATAATTGGGCATGAACCTGCCGCGAGGGCTGTCTTCATACTCTCGGGAGAAAGCTCCAATGAGTTGCACGTATGCTCGACGGCATTACTTCTCACATTACATCCCGGGGGAATTGATGTGAAGTAAGCGAAAACACGCAATCTTCGTACGAGGAGGACTTCGCTGCATGCAATCTGGTATCTTAGACATGCGCGTACTGGGAGGTGGCTTCGAGAAGTGGTGTCCTGAGATGATGTTGAAAGCTGGTGTCATTACACACTCAGGCCAATCTGCGCCCAGTCAAGCTCGATTGACTCGTCATCTTCCACTTCCAGCCTCGATATCAAGGCAGGACGGGCGGTGGAGCCGAAACGGTGTGCTGGCCAGGGGGCTCAGCAGTCAAGATCGACCAACACAAATAGGAGAGCAGCGAAAGATGAATCGAGAGCAATGAACGGGTCACGGCACAGAGTACTCGTATTGTTAGTCTGTTCACAATGTTCTCTGCCTAGCCGCGCAACCGCGTCTCGCTGATATCGTCGGGCCTTGGTATGCAACGAAGGGGAACACGTTTACATCGAGCCAGTTGTCATTGCTGCGGGCTTGTCCGGTCCGGTTTTCCTTACTGTGGGAATGACCAACCCCTGATCTGACAGTGAAGGACGGTTTGTTTGTCACTTTCCGTCCAAATCATTCACGGCTACTGGGGTGCGTGGATTAGAAGCAACAAATGGCTGATTACTGCGGGATGCGGAAGGAAGAGATGAAATAGGGGCTGGATTGTTCTATCTGAATCATCCGAATCCTTGCTACCCATTCTGATTTACCGTTCGCTCAAATATCAAGTCGTCTCGAATCAGTCTGTCGATGTTGATCCTCCAGGTTGTTTTCAAGAGAAGGGCGGAAGCGCGAACGACCGGCACCCACTGTTTGTATCCGCGACGAAGAAGAACAACACGTCGGTCGGCGTTTGCATACTTACCGGCGGAGGAGACAAGTCTTCAGCAACCAAATGAGATGAATGCAGCGATAGATCCTACCTCACGGAAATGTGGGTAGAATGGTGGCAGGGAATCGAGTCAGCCTGCCTCAGAAGTCTCCCAGGTCACATACGTGAAGCACCGGACAGGCGCAACCATTGGCAGCTGGAAGGCGGTGGCCCTGATTAATCAGTCGAGAATGTAGGTTGGGTCGTGATACCGAGGAAACTCCTCGTATAAGTCGAAAAAGACACGCTCGACTTCGTGCCATGACCGAGATTGGGGTAGCTGGCAACATCCCGCACTCGCGGGTCTCTGGCGAATGACTTGCTCAGTGGCTGTTGCTGATTGATTGCTGTATGTTGTATCATACTTCAGACGGCGATCCGTTCGTGGCAGTCTACCTGGCGCGTAGCGTAATGGGATTGCCAGACGCATGGCTATGGCCTTCATTCATCTATATCGTTGGCTTCGGGTGTAGGAATTGCGGCTTCGCGAGCGACCGTGATGATTCGAGAAACGTTCTGCAAAAAGTGTAGACAATCCTTCGATTGACTCAGGTCGAAAAGTCTCGTTTTGTGGATCTTTAACGACTCCTTAAGCTTACCAATACGCATGGCGTCTCTCTTGAATTCGGTGAGATAGTTGTCGGTAATGTTGAGCTCGAAGAGTCGGGCGTAATGCCGCGCCGGTGCAATAACAAATACCCTGCGCCGATCAGTCAGTCGAGACGAATGGCATGAAAAGGGAGAGGATACTAACGTCTCGGGCGGGCCTGCCCAGGCTCCATCTTCAAGGCGAACGGCCAGAGCCTCCCCCACAATTTGCGCAACCCACTCGTCTGGGACTTTCGCCTGACCATCAACGATTTGAAGGCACTGTTTCATTTCGATGATAGCAACGCAGCCCAAACTGCCAATATAGAGGCCACCGTCGTCAATGGATGTGAATTTCAGAGGGCCGCTGAGGCTGACGAACCTCCGGGCCGTGGCGACATTCAAATCGACAATGCTTTCCTGGTCGTTCGCCGCCATCTCGTGCTGCGGGGGTAGCCATTGGAGGACATGCCGAATGAAAGCGTAGATGAATTCGGCCGTTAATGTTTCGGGCTTCTGGGATGAACGCCGGTTCTCTGACTCGGATATGAAGGCGGGCTCTTCAGGTGTCGAAGGGAGGTCACCTCCCCAAGACTTCGCGGGAGGGGTAGTGGACTGAGAATCGAGAGGGTCGGAGAGGTCGCCTCCTGCATATGAGACGACACCGGGATGAAGCGCGGGTTTTCTGCGAACTCTTTTGGCTGGCGGGGACTCGGAATCGTCATGGAGGATGTCCTGTGTGCTGTTCCCCGTGGTCTCCTCTGTGTCTGTTGTTTCGGAGTCCAGGTGGAGTGTTCGAAATTTCCGGAGGGCGGCCCAAATGAAGCCAACGTCCGACTGCTGATTACGACACAGAAAGGAGGCCGACTTGGATGTGGAGATATCAGACGGGGGTCCTGACACAAGCGCAAGGAGCTTTCTTCTCGTGTCTCCGTACTTTGACCAGAAAGGATGATCTTCATCAGAGAGGTTTGTCCTTCCCCAGTGCGGCCAGGCGACATCTTGTTCTTCGTTACCAGCACCAGGCCTAAGACCCGGAAGAATGTCATGCTCTTGTTGTGTGACGACCGCATTGCAGACGTCAAAGTGCCTCTTGCTCCATTTGCTAGTGCTCTGTTGATGAAGAACATCGGCGATGGAGCGACGGGGTTCAAAGGCATCCACGGTAGCGACGGAGTCTTCGTCATACTCACCCAAAGCCTTGAGACGGGGAGGCGCTGAGATTGGATCGAGGAAAGGGTCGGGAACAGAGTCGAAGAAACAAGAGGGCATCGTTGATTTCGGGACGCGCGCCTGTGCTTGCCAGATCCGTACGGCGGGTGAACGTTGATGATCAAGTATCCTGTTCTGGTGGTAGTTGTTTTGGTTTGGAGAGGTTCACTAGCTGAGTCGCCCAGCCACAATCTACAGATGCTGCGGTGCTGGAAAGAGAAACAACAGCACATCTGGGGTGGTGTTGAATAGGCAGGCAGGTTTCCTGGCCCCTACCTCAGGCAGTGGTGTCGGATTGCACACCGAGGCCCTCGTTGGACTGCATGTTATGCGGTGCAACAAGTCTAGTGCCCAGGGACCTAGAGTGGCCGAGAACTGAACATTCAGGAAGGACAAACATTTCATCCTATTCCATCTCCTTCTACAGCCCGCCTCAGCAATAGATGGACACATTCAACGGGGAAAGCAAGAAGAAGGAAAACAAACAAACACAGAGACATAGCCTTGAGGGAGACAAAAGCGTGGTGAAAGACAACACTGGCATGTGTAGTCTGAGAGACAAAAGCGTGGTGGGGAGACAACCTTAGTAAGCTGAGGGACCCAAGGGCCAGAATGCAAAGTCAGGTGACCCACGACTTTGGCCCATGCTTCAGCATGTGATCCTGCTTACTTTTGTCGGTGTATGACATAATGATGCTGACATAATATGGTATGGCCTGTGGGCCTTGTCATCGCGCATTATCTCCCTGTGACATTTTGTTTGCTCTTCCTTTAATTTTAGACACAACATTATTCGTCCATAACGATGCCATCCGTGACGATGACATGCTCACCACCAACGCATCGAAAGCACTCTCGTCCAGAGCCTTCTCACCGACTTCGTCATGTTGCTTCTCTTTCTCTCCATGAGGTTCTGCGCCGCTGCTCTCGAGAGCGTCTCATTGTCCCACCTCTTCACTGGACGCAGCGACACCTTGACCTCCTTGGTTGTTGCTTCCTGACTCTTGCTGCCGCCCCAACGGACAACTCCCTGGCTTCCAAATCTTCTAGAAGGATTTCTGACAATGCATTGGGACCTTTGGCAGCCTGTAAACCTTCTGGAGGCTCGATCACTGGCTTCCAACGCCTCTCACCACCAACCACTCCCTCACGCAGAACGGACGACACCTACCATTCAATCAACTTCCCACAACCAAACACCGTTCGTGCAGTCTCCAGGCTAGCAAAAAGCCATATCCGCGCCTCTAAGGAGATTGGTGTCGCTGAGCTCCTTCAAAGCAGCTCGCTTGCAGCCAAGCCGGCCGGGTATGCAACTTCGTCCCGAATCCCCCCTTCCCAGACTAACAACTGAACGAAACTTAGCACGAGGCTTTACTTCCGCTTCCAAGGACGCGCTTCTCCCCTTCCCTGTCGAACGTTCGCTACCTCCAACAGCCCCGATATCGCCTATCTCGACACCAGCATCATCAAGTCGGCGCGGAAGAACAGTCTTAGGGGCTCGGACAAGACGCGCTGGAGCAAGCCGACTGTGGCTCTCTACCATCTCCGCCTCGCCAGCATAACGCCGTCAGAACCGTATCACGACCCATACATTGCCTCGTTGCTCATCGCCATGGCCCAGGAGATGCACCGAGCGAATCGTTCACCCAACCGGTGCCTCCTCCAACCCCCACGAACCTATCGAGTATGTGTTCACCATGCCCGCCCGCACTTGCGTCGTAGATATTGTCTGCTAACCTCTGCTATCCTCACAAACAGGTCCACGTTCTCCTTGGCAACGTCGACGACAAGTCCACCCTCCACATCTTCACGACCAACGTCTCCGAAAACTTCCTTGGCAAGCTCGACTGCACCCGCACCTCTCCAAGCGGACCCGCTGCGCTGGCTATACAAGTTCAGCCCATTTCGTACGCTCCTTACGCGTCGTTCCAGCAGCGACTGGTGCACGCCATGTTCCCTGGTGGTCAGAAGCGGGCCAGGCCGGTTGATGATGATGGTGGCACATAATGTAATTTGTCTGATTAGCGTTTGCGGTTTGCAGAGTGGGGAGGGCGTTGTCATGATACCATCTTGTTTGATACCCGGACAAAGGAAAGGCGTCTTGGTACTGATAGATTTCGGAGTGGTTGTTGGTCGCCAATGGAAAACGATATTGAGACACTGCGAAGGGGCCCTGTGTTACGGTTTTCGGCCGTGACAAAGATGAATTGATGATAGGTTGAGTGAAACAAGAAATCAACGGTGAGGATGGAACAGGAAGGCAAGCACCACGAACTCACAGCGCGTTCCCTTCCTGCGAAGGGGGCATTCTCCGCGCCAGGCCTGGGACGGCCTGACCCTCCCCTGGGTTTACGGGGTCCGAATCCAGCACCCCGCGGCGGAGCTATAGAGACCGCCCGTCGGAGATCACATTCCCAATCGTCTAGGCACAAGTTGAATGTTTCCTCCGCGCCATCATTTCACGTCCTTTGGTCACTACTCGGTCCGCCTTTTTTGCTCTCAAATTCCATCCGGCTCACATGCATACAGACCATCCCTTCTCGCCCATCGGCACTTCAAGTTTGGACCATGGGTGCCAACTTAGCAATTGACCAATAATGCGGGGGCACCAGAGCGATGTATGGTGTACCAACGTTCTCACCCAGTGAGATCGTTAGATGGCACAAAGCCCAGGCTCTGGTTAATCTCCGGCTATTCATCTTACGTACCTTAGTAGATCTCAGTCGCAAGGTGCCGGGCGCGTCCGGGCCTTCCACACCGCGACGGCTCCGTCAACTGACACCGAACACCAACACCAACTTCCAATCGTTGCTTACGATGTGTTCCATCGGCGCAATCATGGGCCCGTCTGTTTTGTCCCGCTCACGCCGTGGTGCGCCCCCTCCCTCCGTCTTGCCCTTCTCTGCCGACAGTATCTCTTGAGTTCTGCTCCTTCGGCGGCAGTGAGTAATGCGAAGATCGGAGGCGGCTTGCGTCTGGTCTGTTGTCTGGGTGCTGCCGAGCTTGTATGACGACAGCGAAGAAGCTGTTGGGAGCGGTCGTGGTCGGCAGCTGTGTTGTCAAAAGTGCTGGAGCGCCGCTATTTTCTCAAGTTCAACAGCGGCTGCATCCACGGTCGGAACCTTGGGTGCGGAGTCTTTGCCAATTATCAGACACCTGGTTGTTTTTAAGCCAATCGGGGATTTTGTGGCAGACAGGTCTTGGAGAAAATATGGAGATGAGAAGGACGTCGTACACTGCTGCCCATCGCATCGTCCAGCCGAACAAAAAAGAAACAAAGGCCTGGGGAACACATTTGTTGTGATTGTCCGACCGTATTGGTGGATGCAGGCGGGTAAATGTCGCTGGAGGTCTCCTGGCGGTTCGATGAACTGCCTGATGCGCCTCTTACTGCTAAAATCGAATTCTTGCAGGCAGGAGGTCCACTGCAAGATCTGAACGGCGACACTTGATCTTGCAGGACTGCGTCCCACAAAACAGGGTGGGGTTTCTTGTAGACCCATACAACAACGTTGCAGCAACAAGACTGTCCCACAAAACAAGATTTCGGAACAAGATCTCAGCGCGACCCTGCCACCTATTTCAGGGTCGTTTGTTTCGCCCTGCAAATCAACGTAAGTGCAACCCCGCAGTGAAGATCAATATTCATCAAGGATCAACATTCGCTCTACTGCACCTTGCGACATCCATTTTGCCATTTAAGGCCAATGCTCTGTTTGCTGCCGAACAGATCACGCCCGTACACGGTTCCGGGTCTGGGCTCTCGTTTGCTCGCGTCGCGAAAGGTGTCTTAGGTGTTGGAGACTCCCCGCAGGCAAGTGCATCTGTGGGTGCTGCCTGCCTGTAATTCTCCGACATCCAGTCATCCCGCATCGCCTCTTATCGCAGCTCTTATCGCAGCTGACCATCCCACCACAGCTACACCACCTAGTTGGTCAAGAGACGGCTTGTCACCCCCGGCCCACTTCCAGCTTCCGTCAACAACATCATCGCGTCGAACCGCTGTGCCGCCATGAACTCGCCCCCAAACCCCTCCTCTCGACAGCGTGGGATTCAGAAAAACCACAGAGAACTCGACGGTATTTGTGGGTCTTGAGACCGTCTCCTACGAATCACTCCTCTGCCTCAAGAAAATCCTCCTATTGGTCGTCGCATCCGGCGAAAGTCCCAACGCTGTCTTTCAGTCCAACGGTCTCCTTCACGGAGCTTCGTACAGCAGATCGTCGCTTGAAGCAATCCACACTCGTTTATCTGTGAGTTAAGAGATGCTTACCTGCCAACTCACCCATTTTTCTGGCACCCTGCGCGCACCGATCAGATTATTCAACTAACGCTTCGACACAGCAGCAACAAGTACCGCCCGATCCCTCTGGCCAATTGCCACCTATCCGACCGAAAGCCGAGACCTATCCCTCTGCCACCACGATGCCGCCCTCGCTTCCAATCACAAAGAGACCGATCCAGCCCGATGTCAACAGCGATGCAGACTCATAGAACAAAAAGCGGCGGTTGCAAATCCCTGGCGGCTACAACATCGAATCGTTGAAGACCGGCGAGCCAGTGGAAAATTCCGTCATGATGCACCTGCTGCGATCAGCTGCGGCTCTGCACCCGCTATCTTTCCGCGTCCTCGAGGCCACTCACGAACACACCGACCAGCTCCCTTCAAAGGTCGTCGACGACAGCTGAGGGCTTATAAGGGGTTTAGCTATACTAATAGTCTATAACTTAGTCTATTTCTAGCTGGTAATAATATTCTTACTTATTAGGGCTATATTATATAACTACCTTACTATAATAAATAATAAAGTTTCTCTTACTTATAACTATATTAGTATCCTACTTAGTATATAGTCTAAGCTTCTTTTTATATACTACTTTAAGGGGGCTAAAAATAGACTAATCTAAAGGCTAAAGTATATATAATATATAAGTAGGTAAAAATAGTAAGTATAACGTAGTTTATTAGTTAGCTGCAAATATTAGTTAGCTGCAAACTTTTTCCCAGACGTAGTTAGACACCTACTACTTAAACCTTTAACATATAATAACTTAATAACTATAATACTAATTTATACCTAAAAAGACTAAATCATTCTTATAATTAAGGCAATTTAATTAATACGCTCTACTAGTAGAAAACTAAGTATATTACGTACTATAAAAACCTATAGTATACCTAAAAGTTCCTTACGCAATAGAATAAATAACTAACCCTAATGCAAACGTACTTAGCCCTAATAATATAAACTCAATCTAATTAAAGAGAAAACGCTTCTCTAATACGTTATTAAGTAGGATTAAAGAGGGTTCCCCTTACGTTTCACTAGTATAGAAGATATAGCTAATCTCCTACTATAGGTATATAATAGTAAGCCTATTAGTAAGCATTAGGCTAAGCGGTTTATAGACTTATAACTATTATTAAGAACTAAATTTAATTATCTATATAATTATTAAAGGGCCCTTTAAGAGGATCTTAAGGTTATTAAAAAGTAGTTTATATTATTACGTAATATAATAGCTAAATATAGGATTAGTAAGGGAGATATATATAATTTTTATAAAACTAGCTTTATAGTAAGTGTTATTACTATATTAATAGTAGTAATATATACTAATAAACGTAGTAAAGTAAAGTCTATTTAGCTTAGTAACTATAAATAGGCTATAGTTATTAAATATATTAATCTAGGTAGGTAGTATATACCTCTATTTATAATTATTTAAAGCGCTTATTACCTTACTAATTAGACTATAAAATTAGGGTTTCTAGGCAACTAGGTTATTAAACCTATTACTAATAGATAGACTAATGATAAAATAGGTCTAAACTAGATTAAATACTTTAATAAATATACTAAAGGTTATACTAAAGGTATCTATTAAATACTTATTATTAATAGTTATAAGAGCAATTTATTAGCTAAATATAATAATTACTATAGGTAGAACGCTATTATTACTATTAGTATATCTCTATATTTATCTTATTATTACGGCTAGCTAACTAATAGTAGGGTTTATATTAATAGTAAGTTAGGTAATAATAATAGTAATAGTTATTTATTATTCTATAGGTCTAATTAAGTAATTATAAGTCTTTAAAGGTCTTAGTAATTAGTTAAGGCCTTAATAATAGTTATAGAGTAGTTATTACTTAGGTATAGCTAAAAGTACTAGTAAGGGTAATTATAAAGTTAATTACTAAAGAGCTATAGAAGTCTATCCTTAAGTAGACTTAAGTCTATTCTATATATAAGTCCTAAGTAGCTCTATTACTAGGTATTATATCTACTTTATATAGCTTCTATATCTTTAGTATATAGCTTCTATCTTTCTAGGATATAGATACTATATTCTAAATATATAGATCTAATCTCTTATCTTATTATTATATAACTTATACTATAGTTCTTTTATCCCCTAAGAGAACCCTATATATTTCTATAATCCTATATATAAAGGTGCTATTATAACTACTTAGTATCTTAATAGGGTATTCTTTATTAGTTATACCTAATAGGTTATAATATTAAGTTCCCTCTTTAAAGGTTTAGTCCCTTAGACCTATATAAATAAGTAGTATCTTTTAAGTTAGAAAGGTATTAATTATACTTCTTAATTTTTATAATATTAATACTATATTAAGTTATATTTAAAAATAGAGAGATTTAAAGTCTATTTTATATTCTATTTATAATAATATATTTAAATATTTTAGTTCTATTAATATTATACTTTATACTTATTATTTTTAAGCTAAATATCTTTATTATATAATAGAGGGCTTAAAAGTTTATTATAAATATAAAAATTTAAAGTATCTTTATAATAAACTAGTTATTATATTAAGTTATAAGTTAAATAGTATTCTTTTTTAAAGGTATTTCTAACTTATTATAATAAAGCGTTTTAGTAATTAATATTAAGAGTAAGAGGAGAAAGAGAAATAAGTAAGTAATACCTTATTAGCTCTTTATAAAAAGCTTACTTAAGTATAGTTA